GCCTTCCTGGAGGAAGTAATGTGTAGGCTGAGGCATAGGAAGGAGAATGAAGGAGAGAGAAAACAGCATATATAAAGGCCAAGAGGTGAGCAGTATGTCAAGTCCTTCAAAGAAATGAAGCTTAGCACACCAGGGATGGGGCATAAGCAAGGAGCATGCTGAGAAATAAGTGGAGATGTAAGATCATGAAGGGTTTTCCAGGGCACATGAAATTTAGATTTTGCCTTAGAAAAATAAAAGTAAACAAGAAAACAGTTGCAAATCAGCATTTTAGAAAGCTTCTCCAGATGAAAAATGGAAAAGATACTGAAGGATATCAAGATTAGAAGCAGAAATATAGTTCAGAGCTGCTGAAATAATTTAAGAAGCCTGAACTAGTGTACTAGAAATGTTGAAATAGAGAATGAGTAGAGGGGTGCCTGGGTGGCTCAGTCGTTAAGTATCTGCCTTCGGCTCAGGTCATGATCCCAGGGTCCTGGGATGGAGCCCCGCATCGGGCTCCTTGCTTCGCGAGAAGCCTGCTTCTCCCTCTCCCACTCCCCCTGCTTGTGCTCCCTCTCTCGCTGTCTCTCTCTGTCAAATAAATAAATAAAATCTCTTCAAAAAAGAGAGAGAAATGGGTAGATGTGGAGATATACTTAGAAGGCAGAACCTACCGGACTTGAATGGGTATGAAAATGAGAGAAGAATCAAGGATGATCCTGGAAACCTGGTTGGATGATGGTGCCAACCACGGTGAGGGGTAGTGGCAGTTGTTGAGAGATGGTAGGTCCAGTGTAGGATGTTGTGACTCTGAAGTGTCTGAGGGAGAGCCAAGAAGAGATATATGTTTTTAGACCTACTGGCTGAGATCTGGGTTGGTGATAAAGCTTTCTCTTATTCTCTGTGAAATGAGAGAGAATCTGAGAATGAAAAGGACTATAAGACTTTTCAGGCAAAATTAAAGATGGATACCATAACTTATGATAATATCAGAGTTGTATAATTTTTTTCTAGCTTTGCCCAGAGACTAGGTGTACATGTGTAAAAGGCAGGTAATTGCATTAATCAGAATTAGGCTTTTCCCATGTGGCTTTAACAGCTGAAAAACAGAGAGAACAGAGATGAGGATGACTATAATAGCATGAGAATGGATGAAATGGGAGAAGGCAGATCAGTAAGGAAACTAGAGATTTCTTTTAGGTCAAATAAGAAATTTAGAGTGAAGTGGAGAGTGTAGTTAGAACTAAAAACTTTAGGCTTAATGAAAAAAGCCAGGATGATCCCAAAGGCCTAAAGGGCTAGACTGGAATGGATATATATGGCAATCAATGTTATGTAAAGAAAAGCATTTTATATCTAATATACTAAATTAAAAAGTAAACACCTAGAACAAGACAAGGATACCCATTTACATTACTTCTATTTGACATAGTACTAGAAGGCCTAGTCAGAGCAAGCAAGCAAGAAAAATAAAAGGAATCCTGGGGCATCTGACTGGCTCAGTCGGTAGAGCATGTGACTCTTGATTTGGGGTCATGAGTTTGAGCCTCACACTGGGTGTACAGATTACTTAAAAAAAAAAAAAAGGAAAAGAGAAGGAATCCAAATTGTAAAGGAAGAAGGAAAATTATCTCTGTTTATAGACAACAAACATGATCTTATATGTAAAAAAACCCCAAAGATTCCACAAAAGCTGTAAGAACTAATAAACGAATTCAGCAAAGTTGTAGGATACAGAATCAACATGCAAAAATCAGCTGTGTTTCTGAACACTAACAATGAACAATCCAAAAAGGAAATTCAGAAAACAATTTCATTTACAATAGCATCAAAAAGAATAAAATACTTAGGAATAAACTTAACCAAGGAGGTGAAAGAACTATACCCTGAAAACCACAAAATGCTGCCTAAAGAAATTAGAGAAACCAATAAATGGAAAAACAACCCATAGACTGGAAGATTTAACATTGTTAAGATGCCAATACCCCCCTAAGTGATCTACAGATTCAACGAAATCCCTATCAAAATCCCAATGACATTTTTTGCAAAAATAAAAAAAAAAAAAATTCCATCTTATTAAGCAACCCAGAATAGCCAAAACAATCTTGAAAAAGTAAAACAAAGTTGTATGGCATCTGGCTGGCTCAGTCGGAGGAGAATGTGACTCTTAATCTTGGGGTTGTGAGTTTGAGCCCCACATTGGGTGTAGACATTACTTAAATAAATAAATTAATTTAATTAAATTTAAAAAAAAGACAAAGAAAGTTGGAGGTCTCACAGTTCCTGGTTTCAAATTTTGCTACAAAGCTACGGTAATCAAACCAGTGTGACAATGGCACAAAGACAGAAATATAGACCAATGGAATAAGATATAAAGACTAAACCCTCGTATATATGATCAAATGATTTTTGACAAGGGCTCCAAGACTATTCAGTGGGGAAAAGACATTTCAACAAATGATGCTGAGAAAACAGACTATCCACGTGCAAAAAAATGAAGCTGGACCCCTACCTTAGGCCATATACAAAAACTAACTCAAAATGGGTCAAAGACCTAAACATATGATCTAAAATTATAAAACTCTTAAACATGGGGGAAAAGCTTCAAAATATTGAATTTGGCAATGATTTCTTGCATATGATACTAAAAGCACAGGCAACAAAAGAAAAAAATAGGTCAGGCGGACTTCATCAAAATTTAAAACTGTTGTGCATCAAAGGACACTATCAATAGAGTGAAAGACAATTCACAGAATGGGAGAAAATATTTGCAAATCATGTATCTGACAAGGGATTGACATCCAGAATATATAATGAATTCCTACAACTTAAAAATACAAACAACTCAATTTAAAAATGGGCAAAGGACACAAATAAAGAAGATATATAAAGGACCGATAATCAAATGAAAAGATGTTCAACATCACAAATCATTAGGGAAATGCTTATTAAAACCACAATGAGATACCACTTCACACTCAGTAAGATCCCTATTATCACAAATACAGAAAATAATAAATGTTGGTAAAGATGTGAAGAAACTGGAACACTTGTGTATGGCTGATGGGGACGTATAACGGTGTAGCCACTGTGGAAAATGCTATGGTGATTCCTCAAAATATTCAACAAAGAATTACCATATGATCAAGCAATTCCACTTCTGGGTACACACTCAAAAGAAATGAAAGCAAGGACTCAAATAAACATTTGTTTCCTATGCTCATAGGAGGATTCCTCACAACAGTGAAAAGGGGAAAGCAACCCAAGTGTCCGTAGATGGGTATTTGGATAAACAAAATGCGGTATATACATATACTGATATCTAGTTTTAAAAAGCAAGGAAATTCTTTTTATTTTTTCAATTTTTAATTTATTTGAGAGAGAGGAGTAAGCGAGAGAGAGCAAGAGCGGGGGAGGAGCCAAGGGAGAGGGAGAAGCAGACTCCCCGCTGAGCATGGAGCTGGACATGGGGCTTGATTCCAGGACCCTGGGATCAGACTCTGTGCCAAAGGCAGACGCTTAACCGAATGAGCCACCCAGGCGCCCCTAAAAAGTAAGGAAATTCTGACACATGCTACCAACATGGAGGATCCTTGAAAATATTATGTTAAGTGAAATGAGTCAGTCATAAAAGGACAAATATTATAAAATTCCACTTATAGGAGATACTTCGAATAGTCAAATTCATGAAGGTAGAAAGTAGAATTGTGGGAGCTAGGGAAATGGAGAGTTAGTTAAGAATTCGGAATTTCAGTTGGGGAAGAAGAAAAAGTTCTAGAGATGAATGGTGGTGATGGTTGAACAATGTGAATGTACTTAATGCCACAGAACTGCACACTTCAAAATGGTTAAAATGGTAAATTTTATGTTATGTATATTTTGCTACAGTAAAAACAAAAAAGAAAGAAAACATAAGGGTAAATCTTAATGATCTTATATTTAGCAATGGTTTCTTAAGTATGACACCAAGAGCACAACTGACAAAAAAAAAATAGATAAACTGGGCTTACATCAAACTTAAAACCTGTGCACCAAACGATACTATCAAAAAGTGAAAAGAACCCACAGAAAGGAAGAAGATACCTGCAAATCATGTGTCTGACAATGGTCTACTACCCAGAATATATAAAGAACTCTCAAATCTTAACAACAAAAAGACAAACAACTCAATTTAAAAAGGGGTGAAGGACTTAAACAGACATTTCTCCAAAGGAAATTCAGACTTTTTTAACAAGTACATGAAAAGATATCAACATCATCAGTTGTTAAAGAAATACAAATCAAAATCAAGCAAGATGTGATATCACTTTGCCCCCAGTATAATGGTTACTAAAAAGAAAATAAGTGTTGGCAAAGCAGTGGAGAAATTAGAACCCTCATGCATTGCCGGTAGAAATGTAAAATGGTGTGATTCCTGTGGAAATAGTTTTGAGGTTCCCCAAAAACATTAAATTATCATACAACTCTGAAATTCTACTCTTAGGTACAGAAGCAAAGAACTGAAAAGAAGCGTTCAAAAACACATACATGAATTGCTCACAGCAATTATTCACAACTGCCAAAAAATGGAAATTACCCAACTGTCCATCAACTGAAGAAATGATAAACATGTGGTATACCCGTACAACGGTATAATATTTAGCCATAAAAAAAGAATGAAGTACTGTTACATGCTACATGATGAACCCTGAAAACATATGCCAAGTTAAAGAAGCCACTGATTATGATTCTATTTATATGAAATATCCAGAATAGGCAAATCCGTTGAAACAGAAAGCAGATTAGTTGTTGCCAAGGTCTGTGATGAGGGGGAAACAGGGCGTGACTGCTTAGCAAGTACAAGGTTTCCTTTTGGGGTAACGAAAATGTGAAACAAGAAAGTAGCAACAGTCACACAATACTGTTAAGTGTATGAATGCCAATGAACTTTACACTTTAAGGTGGTTAATATGGTGAATTTTATGTTGTGCGAATTTTACCTCGATTTTTTAAAAAAGCTCCCTCTTCATCAGTCTTACCTGACAGTTAATATCAGCTCTATATTGCAGCAGGACTGTAACTAGTTCTTTATGTCCTCGATCACACGCCCAATGGAGTAGAGCTCTTCCCTAAAAACACACAAAAAAAGAAATGAATTTGTTGTTCCAGTTATGAGGCCAGGTAAAACATACTTTTTTTCTTTGAGAATCGTGTATATATTTCATTATTATTATTTATCTGAGTATAGTTGACACACAATGTTACATTAGTTTCAGGTGTACAACACAGTGATTCAACTTCTCTATATGTTATGCTATTCTCACCGCAAGTGTAACTACCATCTGTCACCATACAATTCTATTATAGTATCAGTGACCGTATTCCCTATGCTGTGCCTCTTATTCCTGTGATTTATTCATTACACAACTAAAAGTCTGTATCTCCCACTCCCCTTCACCCATCTTTCCCATGCCCCCAGCCCCCTTCCTTCCGACAATCATCAGTTTGTTCTGTGTATCTATAGATCTGATTCTGCTTTTTGTTTATTCATTTGTTTTGTTTTTTAGATTCCACAAGTGAAATCATATGGTATTTGTATTTATTAGTCTGATTTATTTCACTTAGCATAACATCCTTTAGGTCCATCCATATTGCTTGCCATTCTCATCCTTTTTTACAAGAGCATATTTGTATGCGTGTGTGTGTTGTGTACACATATAGATATATCACAACTTCTTTATCCATTTTTCTATCAATGGACACTTAGGCTGCTTCCACATCTTGGCTACTGTATGTAATTCTGCAATAGACATAGGGGTGCATTTATCTTTTCAAATTAGTGTTTTTGTTTTCTTTGGGTAAATACCCAGTAGTGAAATTATTGGATCATATAGTATTTTGGGGGGGGGGATCATATAGTATTTCTGTTTTTTTAAAGATGTTATTTATTTATTTGTTTATTTGAGAGAGAGAGAGAGCACGTGCATAAGCAGGGAGAGGGGCAGAGGAAGAGAGAAAAGCAGACTCCCCTGCTGAGCAGGGAGCCCGATGCGGGGCTCAATCCCAAGACCCCAGGATCACGACCTGAGCCAAAGGCAGACACTCAACTGACTGAGCTACCCAGGCGCTGCTGGTATTTCTATTTTTATTATTTTGAGGAACCTCCATACTGTTTTCCACAGTGGCTACACCAACTCACGTTCCCACCAACAATGCAGGAGGGCTCCTTTTTCTCCACATCCTCTACAACACTTATTATTTCTTTTGTTTTTGATCTTAGCCATTCTGACAGATATGAGGTAATATCTCTTTGTGGTTTTTTTCTGCATTTTGCTGATGATTACTATGTTGAGTATCTTTTCATGTGTCTATTGGCCATCTGTATGTCTTTGGAAAAATGTCTATTCAGATCCTCTGCCCACTTTTTAATTGGGTTTTTTTTTTTGGTGTTGAGGCACATAAACTCTTCAGATATTTTGGATATTAACCCCTCATTGGATATATCACTTGGAAATATCTTTTCCCATTCAGTAGGTTGCCTTTTTGTTTTGCTGATGATTTCCTTGGCTGTGCAAAAGCTTTTTATTTTGATAGAGTCCCAATAGTTTATTTTTGCTTTTGCCTTAGGAGACTTATCAAGAAAAATGTTGCTATGGCCTATGTCAGAGAAATTACTACCTGTGTTCTATTCTAGGATTTTTATGGTTTCAGGTCTTACATTTAGGTCTTTAATCCATTTTGAGTTTATTTTTGTGGATGGTGTGAGAAAGTGGTCCAGTTTCATTCTTTTACATGTACCTGTCTACTTTTCTCAACACCATTTATTGAAGAAACTATTTTTTTCCTATTGTATGTTTTTGTCTTTGTCATAGATGAATTGACCATATGAGCATGAGTTTATATTTGGGTTCCCTACTCTGTTCCATTCATCTATGTGCCTATTTTGTGCAAACACCATACTGCTTTGATGACTACAGCTTTGTAGTCTTACCTTGAAATCTGGAATTATGATACCTGCAGTTTTTTCTTTCTCAAGATTGCTTTGGCTATTCAGCCTCTTTTGTGGTTCCATCCAAATTTTAGGATTATTTGTTCTTGTTCTGTGAAAAATGCTGTTGGTATTTTGATAGAGATTGCACTGAATCTGTTGATTGCTTTGGGTATGAACATTTTAACAATATTGGTTCTTTCAATCCATGAGCAGGGACTATCTTTCCATTTGTTTGTGTTGTCTTTAATTTCTTTCATCAATGTTTTATAGTTTTTAGAGAACAGGTCTTTCACTTCCTTGGTTAAGTTTAGTCCTAGGTATTTTATTTTACTATTTTTGGTGCAATTGTAAATGAAATTTTTTCTTAATTTCTCTGTTATTTTGTTATTAATATACAGAAATGCTGATTTCTGGGTATTAATTTTGTATCTTACAACTTCACTGAATTCATTTATCAGTTCTAGTAGTTTTCTGGTGGAGCCTTTAGGGTTTTCCATGTATAGTATCATGTCATCTGCAAAGAGGGACAGTTTAACCTCTTCCTTACCAATATGGATGCCTTGTATTTCTTTCTCTTTTATACTTGCTATTGCTAGGACTTCCAGTACTATACTGAATTAAGTGGTGAGAGTGGACATCTTTGTCTTGTTCCTGATCTTAGAGAAAAAGCTCTCAGTTTTTCACCATTGAGTATGGTGTTAGCTATGGGTGTTTCATATATGGCTCTTATTATGTTGAGGTATTTTCCCCTCTAATTTGTTGAGTTCCTATCATGAACAGATGTCAGATTTTGTCAAATGCTTTTTCTGCATCTACTGAGATGATCACATGATTTTCATCCTTCATTTTGTTGACATAGTGTATCACGTTGATTGGCTTGTGAATACTGAACCATCCTTGGATCCCCAGAAAAAATCCCACTTGGTGGGGGTGAATGATCCTTTTATTTTTTTAATTTTTTTTTAAGATTTTATTTATTTGACAGAGCGAGACACAGCGAGAGAAGGAACACAAGCAGGGGGAGTGGGAGAGGGAGAAGCAGGCTTCCCGCGGAGCAGGGAGCCCGATGCGGGGCTCAATCCCAGGACCCCGGGATCATGACCTGAGCCAAAGGCAGACACTTAACAACTGAGCCACCCAGGTGCCCCTGAATAATCCTTTTAATGTACTGTGAATGTGGTTTGCTAATATTTTGTTGAGGATTTTTGCATCTATGTTCATCAGGGATATTGACCTGTGGTTTTCTATTTTGGTGGTGTCCGTGCACAATTTTGGTATCAGGGTAATGCCGACTTCGTAGAATGTATTTTAAAGCTTTCCTTCCTCTTCTATTTTTTGGAATAGTTTAAGGACAATAGGTATTAGCTCTTCTTTAAATGTTTGATAGAATTTACCTGTGGATCTAGAATTTACCTAGATGTTTATTTTTTGGTAGTTTTTTGATTACCAATTCAATTTTGTTACTAGGATTTTCAGATTTTCTATTTCTTCCTGATTTAGTTATAGATGACTATATGTTTCTAGGAATTTATCCATTTTTTCTAGGTTGTTCAATTTGTTGGCATATAATTTTTCATATTAGTCTCTTAAAATGCTTTGTATTTCTGTGGTGTCAGATGTTACTTCTCCTTTGTTTCTTTTTTTTTTTTTAAAGATTTTATTTATTTATTTGAGAGAGAGAGCATGAGAGGGGGGAGGGTCAGAGGGAGAAGCAGACTCCCCACCGAGCAGTGAGTCCGATGCGGGACTCGATCCCGGGACTCCAGGATCATGACCTGAGCCAAAGGCAGTCACTTAACCAACTGAGCCACCCAGGCGCCCACTTCTCCTTTGTTTCTGACTTTATTTATTTGGGTCCTTTTTTGCGCCCCCCCCCATGAGTATGGCTAAGGGTTATCAATTTTATCTTCTCAAAGAACCTCCTACTGATTTTTTTTTCTTTTTTAGTCTTTATGTCATTTCTTTATGCTCTGATCTTTATTATTTCCTTTCTTCCACTCACCTTGGGTTTTGTTCTTTTTTTCCTAGTTCTTTTAGGTGTAAGGTTAGATTGTTTATTTGAGCTTTTTCTTGTTTCTTGAGGCAGGCCTGTATTGCTATACATTTCCTTCTAAGAACTGCTTTTGCTGCACCCCAAAGATTTTGGATCTTTGTGTTTTCATTTTCATTTGTCTCCATGTTTTTTATTTCTTCTTTGACTTCTTCACTGACCCACTCGTTGTTTAGCCTCCACATGTTTGTGTTTCTTCCAGTTTTTTTCTTGTAATTGATTTCTAGTTTCATACTGTTGTGATCAGAAAAAAACGCATGGTACGATTTCATATTCTTAAAATATTTGAGACCTGTTTTTTGGCCTAACGTGATTATTCTGGAGAATGTTCCATGAACACTTGAAAAGAATGTGTATTCTGTTGTTTTTGGATGGAACTTTCTATATATATGTTATAACCATCTGTTATAATGTGTCATTCAACGATACTGTTTCTTTATGGATTTTCTGCCTAAATATATCCACTGATGTAAGTGGGTTGTTAAATTCCCTACTATTACTGTATTACCATCAATTTCTCTCTTTATGTCCATTAATATTTGCTTTATGTATTTAGGTGCTCCAATGTTAGGTGCAAGATATTTACAATTCTTATAACTTCTTGTTGGATTGATCCCTTTATCATTATGTAATGCCCTTCTTTGTCTCTTGCTACAGTGTTTCTTTTTTTAAGATTTTATTTATTCATTTGAGAGAGACAGAGACAGAGATAGAGAGAGCACAAGCAGGGGGGAGAGGCAGAGGGAGAGGGAGAAGCAGATTCCCCGCTGAGTTGGAAGCCCAACATGGGGCTCGATTCCAGGACCTGGAGATCATGACCTGATCCGAAGGCAGACGCTCAAACATCTGAACCATCCAGGCACCCCTGGATGTTTTAAGTCTATTTTGTCTGATATAAGTATTGCTACCCCAGCTTGTTTGTTTTAAAGTCTATTTTGTCTAAGTATTGCTACCCCAGCTTGTTTCTTGCTTCCATTTGCATGGTAAATGTTTTTCCATCTCTTCACTTTCAGTCTATGTGTCTTTAGATCAGAGGTGAGTCTCCTGAAGGCAGCATATAGATGGGTCTTTTTTATCCATTCCGCCAC